GGCGAAGATATTAAGCATTTCTCGTGAGGTGCAAACGGCATATTTTCCCCACTATGGTGTTGGTGTTTTATGAATAAATGCTGTTTGTGGTGCTAACCAGAGGCTCGCTTAAAGCTTGGCTCTTGCATTCTGTACCTGGCAAGATTTGCCGCCCTGTCAGTGTTGCGAGGTTCTCATTGGCTTAATCAGGTAGAAGATGTCATGTTTCTATTAGGCATATGTGCTCCCTTGGACCAATCTAATTCGGTGCTATTATGTGATCTTAACTCTTCGTGTTATTGATGTCATTAAGGTGACGAAATTGTGAATAATAGTTGCAATGTGTATTTTTGCGCATAGTTTTTTACGATAGGCAGGAAGTGAGATAAGTTGTATTTTTGTGTTGGTGACGTCTGTAAGACCGACGTTTAGAATGGAGCTGCAGTGCCCTTTCTCATAAGTACACTATATATAGTGTGGCATTTTAGGTTTGCGAGTGGACGTTTGCTACAATAAGCGACTGCTGAGGACCATCACTACCAAGGTTATGCAGCAGACCCCATTGATGCCTTTGACTTCTTTTCATTATCCTATTGCTTCCAAAAGGCTTCGTTTGTGTATGGCTACTTGTATATGTTAAAGCACCTAAGCTGTCTCCAAACCCTTGTGCATTCACAAATGCACGCGTTCACAGTCATTGTCGTCTTGCATTCTTACAAACGGTGTATGCACGGGATCACTGCCTCGTTTTGCCTCTTACTGAACTGATTCCTTGGTGGAAATTGGGTCGTCACTGCTCACATGCAACTGAAAGGAGTGGCTACTGCACTTCATGTTATGCATACTTGGAGCTAATGCGTAGGTCCACTTTTTTGTCAATCGTGGACTTGATTTACCTTTCATGTGAGACCATGATAGAATGAGGGAATCGTGTGTTTCATGGTTACTACACGACGTTTCAGCAAATTTGCTCAAAGATGGTGGAATGAACGGGGACTTGAAATAGACCGAGATCTCTAAAGTGGAATGAAAAATGAATGAGACACACCGGTTTTTTTTACATTACTGCGTTATTGGCTGTAGACATGATAATAGTTGAGTGGCAGAATAGGAATGGGTAGTCGGTTAATTGCTTTAGAGGAAACGTGCTGCATCTGAAGCACAAATTAGAGGAGGAAGATGGGGATAATAAGCAGCGTTTAAAAGGAAGTACATGTGGCGTATTTGAACGTGGGAGGTAAGAAGAATGCAGTAATAAATTTTTTTGAAAAACAGGTGGATTTCACAGATTGAGTAAGTATCAGAGGAAGGAAAGGTAAAGAA